AGTTGACGAATGGTTTGCGCTCGACGTTATTTGAGTTGTTAGCAATAGGTTTGGTTTCGTGACCGTAGCACTTTTCTTAATTGTTGACTTAGGCACTCTGGTATAACTCAACCCCTACTCTCTTTTTTATATTTTTATTATTGGTCTCTTGGGTTCCTAGGGGAACATACAGCTTCAGTAGCACGTCCTCATCTCCACTTCACTCTCTTCTCTCAAGTCTGTCTACACCTGGCTCCACAACTCCCCATAAGCTTTCATTTCCTCATCACACCATCTCCTCCATGTCACTCTCAACTCACATGACCAACTCGTCGTTTCCCATTTGAGCTCAAGTCAACGGCCTGCTCTCACCTGTCTCGTGATGTCCCCAATCAGTCTTCTCAGTGTATGCTCACTCCAACTCATCTCCACTTTCTCCTTCTGCATATTTGTTGGACGACGGCTTGTTGATTGGTTCGTTGTCAGCCAGCCAATCAGCCAGTCAGCCAGCCAGCCACACTTCCTCCTTGCTTATTCTTCTTATCATCCCATCCTCGCCATCCATCTGATCTTCAGTGTCAGTATCGAGTGAGTGTAGGTGGCAGCTGTTGATGTGATGAATGTCTGTAGTTTGTTGGAAATGCTTCTCGTGTCATGCCAAGTTTCTGAACTATCACATGGAATCACTGACTTACTTGACTGAAATTAGTGTTGAAAATCTGGATCTGCGGTTAGGTGAAATCACCTATTTTTGCTTACTCACCATCAAAGGAATTCCTCCTTGAGGATCGAGATTTGTTAAGTCATTCCAGAGCTTAGATACACGAAAGTGCTACTTAATTAATAGTTATTATTCCAAAAGGTTAGGAAGTGGTTACATTTCTATTTGATCGCTCAAATTATTAGTCAATCAATTGATTATATTCATATATGACGTGTCATAGTACAGTGCTGCCAAAACAAACCCTTAATTGTTCAAGATTTTTATGTAAATCTCAGAACTAAAAAATTCAGTAAGCTGTCCATGCATGTCTGTACTTTGTCGGAAATGCTTTTCGTAACGCGCCATTTCTTTCAACCATCACATAGAAGCACTAACTTACTTGACTGAATTAGCGTCGAGGATCCGGATCTTGTTCTGTGTGCAGAGTGCAGTAGATCGCCACAATGGTTTCAGATTAATGAAGGAAATCCTGTCTTGCTGTCTTTCCGATGTTGGCTTTGACATCCTCATCTGTGCCGCGTGTAGTTGAAACGATGCTGTCTAGTTATGAATGTAGGTAGGTGGGTGAAAGAGACAACCTCCTACATATTTATCCCGTTCATGGCGATTGATGCTTGTTGCTGTCTTCTCTAAATTAACTTGAAGTCTCGTCTTCGCTCCCTCACCTCTTCTTTCACCTATACACATTCGAGCTTGTGCGACGTTAGACGTAAATCATCATCATCGGCAAAATCCAAATATTTTAGGGTATTTTCATTGGTCCCACCAGCATATCCCATCTTCTCGCCCCTCATACCTTGACCATGATCCAGTTCAGTCGAGTCTACCACAGTCAAAAAGATCATCAATTATAATAGACGGTAAACCTTGTCTTACACACTCCTGTATTCAATCCAATGCCATCACTCACCTCTCCATTGTGAATCACTCGGCATGTTACATCGTCATAGAGTACATAGCTGTTGAATGAAATTGATAATAAGTGGCACTAAAACCGTAGTGTAGTGTTCAAGCAGCTACCTGCCAAATTAATTCTCCGTCAACGCTATTCAAGACCTTGCCAAAGTCAGTGAAGTTGACGTAGGGTTGACTGCCATTCTTTACTCTCTCCTCTTATCATGAGTAGAGTAGCGTTGCAATTTCATCATCACACGATTTGTTCTTCCTGAAGTCAGCCAGCCAACCAGCCAACCAGCCTGTTCCGATAGTAATTTTGAATCCAGAGCATCCTTCACTCTCTCCAGCATGATGAGGCTGAATACTTTGCTTGTGGTCGACACAGGTGGAGCATGATTAATCACCACTGCTTGCAAACACTTACGTCTCCCTTATTAGACAGTTCCACAAGGTAGCCCTGCTCCCAACACACAGGTACCTCACCTTCATTATTTCCAATCCTTCTACAATAGTGGTGTGGTGTGAGCATGTCCGCTGTTGTCTCCGCGTCTGTTTTCAGTGCGTCCGGTGGAATTCCATCTGGTCACCCTGCTCTCCCGGATTTCAGCAACTTTATGGTGTTCAGGACTCCTCCTCAGCTTTCGTCGGAGAGCTTGTGTTCACTGGCAGGTCTGTTGGTGGGCTGCTGGTAGTATGTCTGGATGAGTTGCAGGTGGTGTTGGTGGTCGATTCAAGAGTCTTTCCTTCGAAGTATGTCAGCCCATCATTTCCTTCCTTTCTCCTTTCTCCTTTGCAACTAGGTTTCCTTCACCATCTTTCATTGGTTTTGTCTACGTTGATGACTTCCATCCCAGGTAGTAACCTGGTTATTCGATATAGTGTTGTCAAGTCTCTGTCTCGCCTACCTGCAGCCTGTTCTACTTCACTTACCAATGTGTTGTAGAAGTGTCTTTTGTGTTTCCGTGCACTCTTCTTCACTTCTTTATCCAGTGTGGTGTTGTGTTGTAGGTTGTGTTCAGTTCCTCTTTCCCTCTTCATCCCAACTCTGCACTGCACTGCACTGCACTAGTTTACCTTCTGTTTCACCATCTTCCTCACACTCTTCTATCGGTCTCCATGTGTCCGTCGAGATCCATTCTTTGTCCTGACTCCTCTGCTTTCTTCCTAACATGGTTATGCAGGTCTCTTTCCACATAGCTCTTAAAGGGTTCCAGTTTTCTCCGACAGAGGTTTCCTCAGGGATGTTGCCTAATTTCTCAAATTTTGTCCTGAAGACTGACGTCAACGTATTCTTTGTAATTTTGTCCTTCAATTGGTTTCTGTTCCGGGTGTCGAACTTGAAATGTGGTCGTTGATCACCAACTTCTTTATAGGCTGCATATCCACTTCCTTCACATTGATATGAGGTCGATCCGATCTTTAGTGTAGTGTGTCTGGTGTCTGGTGAAATCCATGTCGCTTTGAGAATATCCTTGTGCTTGAACACACTGCCTCCGATCACCAAATCGTTGAATGCACAGAATTCTGCAAACAGTTTTCCATTCCCACTCATCACCTCACCGAGCGCTTCTCAACCCATGGTTAGCTCTCTTCCTATGTTGTCCGCTCCCACTTTGACATTCATGTCACCCATTAGAATTTTGATGTCGCCAACTGAGGTGGAGTCTTGTCCAGTGTTGATTGCAGTTGTCTGTAGAATTCCTCCTTCTTCTCTTCATCTACATCATTTGTAGGTGCGTAGCATTGTACGATTGTGACCTTCCTTCCTTTTGAGTTGAACCTTGCTGTCATGATCCTCATCTTGGAGGAGACTGGTTCTCACTGCATGAGAGAGAGCCTTCGATTCTCTTGAGGACGACATCATGATAGCCAGTCGAAAAGTCAGTGTGCTCGTGGTTGTCGTCTGGGTGACCATATCGGAGTAGATTATTGATTCCTCTCCAGTTGACAGTTTGCAGAGTCCACATCCATTCCATCTGCTTTCGCGAATTTCTAACACTTAAATGAGATATCTTTTCATCTCCTTTGCAATCTGGGATGCCTTGCTAGGTTCAAACATAATGCGGACATTCCATATCATCACGTTTACTTTTGCTTTCATCGAGAGAGAGAAGATACATCGGCCAACTGGCTTTCTGAAGGCAGGGTCTCATCAACCGGCGTCATTTCGTCTCTCCAATTCCAGTGAGGAATAAGTTTGTTTTTATTTTTTATATATTGTTTGTGCTTTGAAGTTTGTTAGGTGATTGGATGTGTTTTCCGATGTGGGGTTGGTAGTCGTATGCCCGACTTTCCCTCTTTACCCGGGCTTAGGACCGGCTAGTAACTAGTGAACTAGTTAACCAGGCGAGATTAGATTTCCGATTATTTGTTCAAATCTTTCTAGTTCTTATTTACTTGTTTTCCTTCCGATGAACCTTTTTTAAACCACTTGAGTTTCATTGTACTTGTAATAGTTCCCTTTCTGTGAGAAGTTTTTTAGTGTGGTTACTGGAAATGAAGCAAATCTGTCAACGGTTCCGTGCTTATTAGTTCATCTTATGCAACACAGTAGTCTTTTATACCACAAGTTATTTTCCTCTAATACATATGCGCAGCTGAATCCAAGATGTCTCATTGAAATCCCTTATAATCCTTTTAGGAACTTAGCTAAAATAGCTTTAGTCAACGTCAGTTAAATGTAACGATGATAAGAAACCGACTGGTCGAATGTTCAATCAGGAGGTTTTTGGAGATTTACAAGTTGATTTCAGGTTGGAATTCATCGTGGACTGACATCAGTTGGAGGAACATTGGAGAACTGGGAACTTCAAACAGCTATTTATTCCCCCTTGTATGGGACTCTTCAGCGGTGCACACCTTCGACCCAACCCACCAGGGATCAGTTACGCGACCATCGAGTTCAGTGGCCAGCGCGTTCCCATTGAGGCACTGGGTCAGAATTCAATGGTCCATATTTCTTACTTCTGTCAGTTCACGATGTCCCACGACCTCAATCCAATGTCATCTTTGAGTAACCGTCCTTATGTTCAACTTCATTGTATTCAGTCTTCTTAAATTTTAGTGAAGTTTTCAAGCTTCCTATTCTCGTAAATCACAATCCTTCTTATAGACCTACTAACCATTGAAAACATCTTGAGATGATATGAGAAGTCAAATGTAGTTTGCAGTATTTATTTTTCATTGAAATGAATAAGTCAGTCGCATTTGGAGACATAAACATTGAAAGAAGAGATCAAAATGGTGTGAGTGTTACTACTCATCATATCAATTAGTAACACAATACATTATGGGTATGCTATTTAGCTGTGAAAAACGAGAACACAAATGTATTTCAAGCATATAGTGTGTTACCACTCAATATAGTATGCAAAAATTTCGTTTGTATGTGAAATCAAATAGGTGAAGTATGGTCGTAAACGACACGTTTAAGTGAATGAGTTTAATGTGAATATCACTGAGTAAAATGACTCCGCATTTAATTATGCTACTGAATAATTGTTAGTACGTGAATGAAGTTTGATGAAATTTTCACGCATCTAGGCTTTCATTACCCAGGGACGACACAATAACAAATTGCAATTTAGCAATCTTCACAATTAGTGGACTGTAAATTTATGTCAGGTTTTTCTGATGAACTATTTTTAAATATTCTAGGTTTGATCCAGTTAATACCACGTTGACTACTCCCACAAGAAGTACCACCACTGACTGTAAAAATGCTAGTCCAATCACAAGTTGTTACAGCTGGTTTAGATTTTCGACTTCCAAGAGAAACAAATGTAAGAGCAGCTCCTTGACTACTGCTAACCAAACTAGCTACGCGTCCAATCAGCGGAACATAAGGCAGTAGGCTGGCTAATATTTGAAATATCCAGACGACACCTAGAATTATCGATAACTTGAAACATATTCTCAACATTTTCCGACTTTGCTTATGAAAATCAGAATTTTCAGCTTGATTCTTGTCATTAGGTGAAACATTTAGTTCATTTTCACTGAGAAACCAAACATGAATGCCAACAACAATGATAACGATACAGTTGAATACCAATAGAAATGTGGTCGGCGCTAGAAACCATAGAACAAATGCTTCATGTACTGTAAACCATGGTCTTGTACAATCTTTTGGTGGACAAAACCCTGGAGTCAAATAACTTAATATCCATTGGCTTATAGTACATACTGATTCATCTACTTCATTACCCAATAATTTAGCTAGATACTGTTCATGTATACACTCATTTGGATAAACTTTTTCATTGATGATTACAGCAGGTATAACAAAACAAAGTGGTAGACTTGTTGCCAGCAATGAAAACAATATGATAGCTTTTGGTGAAGTAGACGAGTTGCGTTTTGTTGACTGAATAACCATACTCTGAAACAGGAGAAAAATTAAAACAACATCCATTTAGGATGATGAAGTAAGAATCAAATAATAAGTTATTTCGTCATCAGTTTTTATTATAAACCTGTGGTATTTTTTGTAATAGTTTCTTAAGATTCGTTCAAGATCAGACTTGGTATATCTTAGTATCTAAACCTAGTTACCCAACTTGTACTCTGTTATGTTTATGATTATTTTATATGAAAGTAAAAGTAATGAGGAAAGAAAAGTTTGAACATTAAGCTAACCTATTAAAGCTTGTTATATCTACTGAATACCAAGTCAATAATATTAGGAATACTTGGACATTATAAGGTAATAAAATGTTCACAACCTCGGTTTTTATGACTTCAGAGTCAAGGAAACTGCAGTCAGAATGCAAACCGATCACGCTTAGCTCTATTCCAGGAGATGTAAGAGCTTCTGTTCAACCTAAGAGACCGTTTCTGGATTGTTTTTCAAACTTAAAAGGTGATATGATTATCATAGTTAAACGACAACCATCAAATGTGGTGGTCGGTGCCAAAAGGATCAAGAAGTATGATAATTTTGCATCAAAAGTTGGTTTCCTTTAGGAAATTTACTTTCGAATATCAGTAGTCAATCAGTAAGAAGACATCAACCTCGTTTTCAGATTTAGTGATATTCATCAACAAGATATTCTGCTTCTTCAAGCATTCTAACCTACCTCACTCAGTTAGGAAGTATTTACAGTTGCTACTAAAACTTAAGGAGATATACCCTTCAAGTGCCAGATGACCATTGTGGTGAGTCGATCAATTGTGAATCAACTAAGGTGCCGTAGATTTTGTATGTTGAATCATTCATAATAATAAATAACGTTGTCAGCATATTCTACCTTTAAATTCATGAATAAAGAATCCCTTACTCAGCTCCAGATAATATGGTTGGGAACCTAATTATGTCAAGGTATATATATAGTAGTTTTTAGGAATTCCATTTGTTTCAAGTTGGTATTCATCACAGACTGACATAATTTTGAAAACTATTGAAAAGCTGAAAGCACTGGACTGCTGTCTCATCCTACTATGGTACTCCTCAGGAGAACGCATCAACAACCCCTTTATGGATCAAAACTAGGAAGTTCAGCTTTAGTGGCTAACCTAATAACCATTGAGTCACTAGGTCAATTTATGATATAGCGTGACTATCCACCAACGTCTTCAGTTGGCATCCACTTCACTTCCAACTAGTTGGCCACAACGATCACAACTTCTCGTTGAAACTTCGGGATATCCATCTCGTAATATGTCATCAATCAGCACCAAACAGAAAGTTGCTTTGAAGTTTGTGAGGATTTTACTGATTTCAAGGTAGTAGTATATACTACTGAGGAGTCTCACAGTGAGACGAAATAGCTGTTAGTGTTCCCAGATCTTCAGTGGTTCTTCAACTGATGTCAGTTCATAATGTGTGTATATGGATCCTATTCTAATTTCAGTCTCTAGAAAGAAGTCTGAAAGTTGTTACTTTAGTGCGAATAGGAAACTGGCTGATCGAAATACAGTGATCGTTTCATCAACGATTTCCTACTTATTACGTGAGATTAATTTACTCAAAACATGGCAAGTAACAAATTTTTCTCTTCTAATAAAATTTAATCACTATTTTCTGTCTTGTTCCGTTCCATTGTATGACATAATAAACTTTATTATCAAGATGATAAATTTACAAATTATCTTCTAATTGAAAGGTCCATCTTGACATTTCAGACAAATGAGTTGTTTCTCAACTAAGCCAATTTTATAACTTCATAATTACCTGGAAACCAAATACAATTTTTTCCAAGTTGGTATTCATTGTAGACTGAAATGAGTTGCAGGAACATTAGGAACCTGAAGCACTAAATAACTGTCCCATCTCATTTGTATATGACTTTCCAGAGGTGCGATCCCATGACCCCGCTCACCAGGGATCTAACACATGACCTTCAGGTTCCATAGCCAACATGTTACCATCGGCCACTGGGATGTAATCCGGTGGTCCATATTTCCGACTTTGCCAGTTCATGATATAGCGCGATCGCTACCCAGTATAATCTTTGAGTATTTGCCCTCATGGCCACTAGGTTTACCCCACCGATCACGACTTCTCACTGGAACTTCAGGAATCACCTCTTGAAACTAGTCACGAATAAAAAAATCTCTAAATCCCCACAAACTCTCGAATTCAGTTGAACTAGTGCCCATTGATGACTAGCTTCAAGAGGTGATTTCTGAAGTTCCAGTGAGAAGTCGTGACCGGTGGGGTAAACCTAGTGGCCATGAGGGCAAATACTCAAAGATTATACTGGGTAGCGATCGCGCTATATCATGAACTGGCAAAGTCGGAAATATGGACCACCGGATTACATCCCAGTGGCCCGATGGTAACATGTTGGCTATGGAACCTGAAGGTCATGTGTTAGATCCCTGGTGAGCGGGGTCATGGGATCGCACCTCTGGAAAATCCCATACAAGTGGGATGAAACAGCTACCTGAAGCTCCCAGGTTTCCAATGTTCCTCCAAATGATGTCAGTTCACGGTGAATATCAACTTGAAAGAAAAGTCTCTAAATCCCCACAAACCCATAAATTCTATGTATAATTTTGTTGTCTGGTCATACAATGTTCAATCATAAGGTAGTGAATTCAAGGTTTACGGTAATTAGGGTGTCGACTACCATCTAAAATCATTGGTAGTCAGACTTGCTGATTGCGTCTGTAGTGAACTAGATCAGGGCATTAGCCTCGCTTTTAAGCAGTCAAAATAGCTTGGTTTTTGATTTCTTTACAGTATACTGAAGTTGCTAATCTTTAAAACTTTAGAATGGAGATAATCTTTCTACTGGAGACTAAAAAATCAATCTACTGTCTTATTCAAAAGACAAATCTGGATGAAATAAGTAATTTTTAACTTGCAAATCGACCTATTATTGACATTTTATGTGATCAGCCTAAGAGTATATACTAAGAAGCAAAATCTTTCAAATATCTTGATAGTGGTTTTGGACCTATTTTGATGATCGAATCACTAACGCGTGTTATATCATCAGAAAAGCAACTGGTCCTGAGATATTTCAGCATTCTGAAAACAAACTAAGTAATGTGGTACGTTAGCGTAAAGTTTGACGGATACATAGCAAAAGTCACATCATATTATTGTATTATTATTTTTCCCTTGGGTTCCTAGTGGAATATAAGGCGTAAGTAGCACGCCTCCATTCCACTCTCTTATTAATGAAGGAAAGCCAGTCTTGCTAACTCTCCAATCCCGACGTCGACATCCTCGTCTGTGCAGCAGCCTGTAGTTGAACCGATGCTGCCTCGGTGGTAGGTGAAAGAGACAACATCCTTCAGAATTCCACCTTTTACGGTGATAAGGGCATGTTGTTGCTGTTGTTGGTTGTGTACCTTCATCACCTCCATTTTCTCTACATTCACTTCAAGGGAGTTCAATTTTTGCTGCCTCCTCTGTCAACTTATTGGGTTTTGCCTATAGATCTTCGAGTTTGTGCAACAGGACATTAGACATAAGTCATGATCGGCAAAATCCAAATATTTTAGGGTATTTTCATCTCTCCAGCTAGCGCATGTCCATGTTATCACAGCTCCCCACGGTTTGCTACACCATACAGTCGACCAAAATCAGGAAGATCATTGTTGATTGTAGCCGGCAACCTTGTCTTACTCCTTGCCGTCTTCACTTCAGTGCAATCACTCACCTCTCCATTGTGAGTCACTCGGCATGTGGCGTCTTCATATAGTGTTGAACGCGGTTCATAGTGGTTTGTGGCACTAAAACCGTAGTGTAGTGTTCAAGCAGCTACCTGCCAAATTAATTCTCCGTCAACGCTATTCAAGACCTTGCCAAAGTCAATAAAGTTGAGGCAGAGTTGACTGCCATTCTTTACTCTCTCCTCTTATCATGAGTAGAGTAGCGTTGCAATTTCATCATCACACGATTTGTTCTTCCTGAAGTCAGCCAGCCAACCAGCCAACCAGCCTGTTCCGATAGTAATTTTGAATCCAGAGCATCCTTCACTCTCTCCAGCATGATGAGGCTGAATACTTTGCTTGTGGTCGACACAGGTGGAGCATGATTAATCACCACTGCTTGCAAACACTTACGTCTCCCTTATTAGACAGTTCCACAAGGTAGCCCTGCTCCCAACACACAGGTACCTCACCTTCATTATTTCCAATCCTTCTACAATAGTGGTGTGGTGTGAGCATGTCCGCTGTTGTCTCCGCGTCTGTTTTCAGTGCGTCCGGTGGAATTCCATCTGGTCACCCTGCTCTCCCGGATTTCAGCAACTTTATGGTGTTCAGGACTCCTCCTCAGCTTTCGTCGGAGAGCTTGTGTTCACTGGCAGGTCTGTTGGTGGGCTGCTGGTAGTATGTCTGGATGAGTTGCAGGTGGTGTTGGTGGTCGATTCAAGAGTCTTTCCTTCGAAGTATGTCAGCCCATCATTTCCTTCCTTTCTCCTTTCTCCTTTGCAACTAGGTTTCCTTCACCATCTTTCATTGGTTTTGTCTACGTTGATGACTTCCATCCCAGGTAGTAACCTGGTTATTCGATATAGTGTTGTCAAGTCTCTGTCTCGCCTACCTGCAGCCTGTTCTACTTCACTTACCAATGTGTTGTAGAAGTGTCTTTTGTGTTTCCGTGCACTCTTCTTCACTTCTTTATCCAGTGTGGTGTTGTGTTGTAGGTTGTGTTCAGTTCAACCTTACCTTGTTCATCCTTGCACTTCATTGGTTCATCTTCTGCTTGACCATCTTCCTCTCCCTTCTCTACCAGCTTCCATGTATGCGCGGAGATCCATCCATTGTCTTGTTTCTTCTTCCTTCTCAGTACGGTCATGCAGATTTCCCTCCACCTCTCTTTCAAAGAATTTCAGTGTTTTTCCACGCCCAATCCTTCAGGAATCTTGCCCATAGTCTTCCATTTGTCCCGATGACTGACGTGGAGATTTCTTTTCTACTTTC